TCCTGTCCTGTAGTACTAACAGTAGCAACAGGTGCAAATAATGGATCTTTATGATAAACTTCATGAAGATCATTATAAAACTTCCAAGTGGAACTGTTGCCTTTTCCAGTTTCATTTTTTTCTCTTCTGACTAAATCGTCTTTTTCTTTAAATTCCTCCATTTTTTGTCACATTTTGCAGATGTAACAGGAATGCTTTTCTCATTTAATTTGAAGCTGATGAGATTCTACACACTCTTATTGTTGTGTTGAGTGGATGAAAATTTGTCCTCAAATTCCTTGTAAGTGGGCTATCAGCAGCTTAACAGAGGCGTCACTCAAGTTACAAGCTGCATTGTTAGCCCTGTGAGGAGTACTGGTGCTGCAATTTGAGCCCGAGCCTATATCCTTACAGTTATGAAATAAATTGGTATATGTATTTTGAAGAWTTTCTCTTTTTTTACCTTCTTAAGATTAAGACAGACCGACTTGGAGAAAGTGTTGATGTGCCGATGTTTTTGAACCTGGCTTCACAAACTTAGAAATAAATGCCAAATATGACAAATCGACAAAAATAACCGGAACAACCGCTTCAAAATTAGCCGTCACATACATTGCATAGAATTTATTACTGTCAATCAACGCATACGACGGTGTAGTTTATAACCTATGTTTGCGCGCCTTTAAATTTAGAATTTTTTATTTAGTTTTTAGTTTTCGTATGAGACAAGCGATAAACACATTCGTGTAGTAGCTATCGGGGTGGCCGCAACACATCGTGTTTTTGACCTAGTGGTTATTGTTTTTCTTTGAATTATTGTTCATGCCGGGTCATCAAAGCTCTAGTATTCCCATTTTCTCTTCCTTCCTTCCTCCTTCCTTTTAGTGACTCTGGGATGCTTTGATGGACTGTTCGGTAAGTTTTTTTTCTTTTACATTTTAATTTCGATATAATTTTGCGCGTCAACAACCTATTTCTCTTTTTTTACCACTTTTTACACCTTATGTATCTAAGAGAATAATCATGAAAAATACTATACCGACGAGTTTGGGATAGCGAAATACAGTTTTAATCAGAAAAAAACCTCCTTTTCTAAAATCGCCGAATATGAACAGCCCAGAACGATGTTTCGTGTTGAAACCAGTGATATTCGCAACACAAAAATAACAGTTATTGTGATATTTTGAGGGTTCACGCCAAATCATTGGTGTTTGACATATACTTAAAAGACCGTCTCTTTTTATTTCTCCACAAGCGTAAAAGATTCATTGCAAACTTTACGCATCATGTTTTAAACATTTGAAGAGCTTATAATTGGTTATCCTTTATAAATTATTTAAATTATTAAAATATTAATTATACAGGGTGTTCCGTTTTAATTGTTACAAACTTAAACAGGTGATAGAATATTCAATTTTAAGACAAAAGTTTCCTATGAACATGTATCAAAAAATGTTACGTAAGCGAGCTACACCTCCGTGAAAGAGATGCGTTTTTAATGGGGTTTTTCCACTATTGGAGAATAGATAAAATTACGAGTACAAGTGTTGATACAGCTGATTTCTTTTAAACACTTGAACGAATTTAAAGATTAGTTGTCGAAATTTAAACAAATTTAATTTTTAATTTTTGTCCTCTTTATGGTCTGTAAGAGAAATTGTAAACTGATTTTAATCAAAAACGGTAAGTTTTATCGAAAAAACGCAAGAGACTTCTTTTTTGTAAAAAAACTATGAAATTTAGAATTTTGTGTCTGAAAGTGACAAAAACCAACCGCCAAAAGAGTTAGGTTACTTTTTACCCTAAACCCCCCAGTTTAGGACGCCCCTGAGTAAAATTTCGACATTTTATCTTTGAATTCATTTGGGTGTATAAAGGTTATCAGTTGTACCAAATTTTGTAATTTTATCCACAATGGTTTCTGAAATATTGGAAAAAATCTATTAAGAGATGCACCCCTTTCAGGGGATGTGGCTCCCTTATATAAAATTTTTCGATATACAGGGTGAGCCAGAACTTGCGCCCCAGAGAAAATTTTCAAGTAAGGTAAGATACCAGGAACATAAAAAAATGTTTAAAAAATTCTATCTGTCAAAAAAAATTGCCATTTATTTTTTGACATTTGACATTTTTTTATATCTATTTAATGGTACTGATGATCTTGTATATGTTTTTTTACAATTATTTAGTAAAGGGACAAAAATTTTGCCAATAAAAGCCACAAATTACATTGAACAGAGTTACAATTTAAGATACAGCTTCCTTGTTTCCTCTTTTAATAGTCTATAACAAAAAAACTTGGAAAATTATTTTTCCAATAAAATAATTAGAGTCAAATTGCAAACTTTAAACCCTCATAACTTCGAAATTTTTATAGATAAAATTTTTTTAACATTTTTTCCATGTTCCTGGTATCTTACCTTATATGGCATTTTTCTCTGGGGCGCGAGTTCTGGCGCACCCTGTATGTTTATAGGAAACTTTTATCATAAAATTGAATATTCTATCACCTGGTTAAATTTGTAACAATAAATATGGAACACCGTGTATATAATTGAAAATAATTAATTAAATTATTAATGATAGTTTTGACATTAAAATAATCAAAGATAGAAGTAACTAAATTACCAACACAAAAGATATTTTAATAACGAACAGAATACAAAAGTCAATTAAGGAGATTTTCAAAATGCATCCCACGACTTCTCTCGCATGCATCAATGCGGTTCGAGAAAGATCTTCTCACTCTTATAAGCTGGTGTTACAGATCTACAAGCGACAGTTATTCGATCTTCTCTACTGTTAATAGGTGTTTGGTAGACACGATCTTTAACCATTCCCCACACAAAGTAATCGAGTGGAGTTATATCATGACTTCTCGGGAGCCAAGGATGAATCGAAATCCTACCTATCCACTTATTTGCATACACAGTGTCTAAATACCGTCTCACATCTCTGTGGAAGTGAGGGGGCGCGTCATCCTGTTGGAACCACATGATTTGTTTTCTATGTAAATCTATCTCCTCCAACAAAATTGACAGAACATTTTGAAGAAAATTTAAACACACTAAACCATTAAGCGAAAAAATATGATCCTATAATTTTATTTCCCAGTATTCCGCACCAAACATTTGTAGAATAAACCGTCTGGAAGTGTCCTTCACGAATCCAGGGAGTTATCCAGTTATTCTGGGCATAATAGTGACAATTATCTTTGTTTACTCCCACATTGTTGCTAAAAGATGCTTCATTACTCAAAAGTACATTTTCCAAAAACATTTGATCTAAAATGGTTTGTTCCCGAACGAATCGACAAAAATTCAGTCTCTTAGCATAATCTGCTTCTTCAAGTCCTTGGACCAAGATAATATGATAGGCGTGAAGCTTATTTGCATTGGCAATTCTGCAAACAGAAGACTGGCTTATGCCTACCCTTCTTGCCACTTCGCGTTGCCCAACAAGTGGTTCCTCCTCAAAAATTTGAAGGACTGCTATTTCGTGTTCCTCATCCGTGGCTACTCTTTGTCTTGACAATTTAACGGAAGTCCAATTACCTCTCAACTGACCCTCCAATCTTTTAAAAATCGTGTCAGAAGGTGCTCTTCTTTTGGGGTACCGTTGGGCATAAACATGGGCAGCAAGAGATACAATTTTCGAACATTCTCCATAAACTAAAAATCTTCTCATTATTGGCATATGTGTACATTTCGCACAGTTTGTAGTAAAATAGAGTTTATAACAATAATAATGACTGACAACAATGATAGGCATCGTGGATCCAAATTGTAAAGTCTGTTTTTTCTTTTTAATGGAAATTCCAAACAGTGTTAACGTTGGCACTACTAGTAAATTCATTCATGGTAATTTTAAATAAAGGAAGTTGGCAGTTCCGGTTTTTTTGGATTAATCTGAAAACAATGTCATTTAACGTCAACACAAAAAGTCGTCTAAAAAATTTAGAGACGAAACACCAAAAAAGAAACAAATTCGGAACCGCTAACAGTTTGGAAACGAGTCGTTCGCAAGCAGAAAGTTAGAAAAAGGGCCTGTTAAAATGTAGACGCAATTTGTAATGCAGGTTTGCTAATCATTCTCATTTTTTAGCAAGAAATTGACAAAAATACAAAATAAACATGAATGAGAAAGGACCTCGGAATGAACGCAATTAAATTAGTGTCTTGTGCATCGTTTTTGAGGAACGAGTTGAAAAAGTAACAATTTTGAAACTAAAGCTGAAGAAGAATTTCTAAATTGCAGCAGCTTTGAGATCATTTCAATAAATTACACAAAATTTATTGCCAATCATCATAATACCTACTTGTATCTTTTGCTAAATAACTTATTTCTGTATATACGTCCTTTTTCTTCAAAGTTTTTGTAGCAAGAATCTCATTTTTGTCCACAATATTGTACTTACTTACGGTGCGTTTCTATCAAAATTATTAGCATTGAATTCTGTCTTTAGACCTTAGGTAATGGTGTCTGTCCTCAGGTATTCAATTATAGCGCTTTCAAAGATCAAACAGGCACACAAGATTCATAAAAGTCAAAGTTTTGACAACATCTCAATTTGAATACATAACCATAATTTTCTAACAAAATTTCTAGGGACAGAAACAAAGAGCAAACAAAATTTGTGGCTATGGGGACAAGCTACTACCAATTTTTTCACCAAAATTTTGACTTGGTAATTTCCATTTAAAAAAAAACAGACTTTATTTATTTTTTTGAAAGTCGCAAATGCGAAATGTAATGGTGGTTGCATCGAGAATTTAGTCAGGCTCACTATTCCTCGTGAATCACCCTATATTACTAAAGAATCACTTTCTCGGATTATTGTACTTCTTATGTCGTTTTAATTTTTATGTTTTGCGTTTTGTCGATTACCTAATTCATAAAGTTCATTACCAGAATTGCTAATGCTGTAGGTACCAACATTTAGATACTTTTTATTAAAAAAAAAAACCGAATTATGTGTAATATTTTTTATTTGATATAGACAGGTTAACACTTGTAAATTTTTATACTCTACTAGAGTTCAGACTTATGCAATCAAAATTTTTCATTTCCGAAGGATGATTAGGTGGCAGCGGTGGCGGTGATTCATACACATGATCATCAAAAGATTGCGTAACGTGTTCTACTCGTGTCCTCCTTCTATAATGCCCTTTTCTAAAACGCCCATCTGTATTATTTGTCGGTATTACGAATGCAGTATGTTCTGCAATTGTTCTTAAGTGTTGTGGAACAATTATTTGAGTGTTAATCCCGTTGTATTTTGGGGTCAAGTAACCATTACTATAACTGTACAATGATGGTGGTGTATAGTTAATTTCATCGTAGTATGTTTTTGGCATAATTATGGCGTCTGCAGCTTTACTCTCGACGATTATAACACGTTTATTTCCTTTGATGAGATTAGGATGTTGTCGTATGCAATAAAACACTATTATACCACTTACAAAAATAGCAGCAAGTATAGAACCGCTAATGGCCAAAATTAATGGAATCTTAAAGTTGTTTGTGATCCAGGCTCGTTTTTCCAATGGAGGTGGGGTAGTTAAAGCAGTACAGTCAAATGGCGATGCTGTATTACTAGAAGGTTGTAAAATACAAAAGGTATAGGTTTTTTCGCTTTTAAGCATAAGTTGGTACTGAAATCCCCCAGATACCGATTTGACACACTCTACAACGTCCTCTGATTTCCAAAGTAACGATTCATTGCTTATATTGCCTGTTACATACAAAATATATGTTTCATAAGGATCTGCAGTGTGTGCGAAATGCATCACAACTTGGCCTTTGCGAACATCAATTGTATAATCATCTATAGGTTGTGCATTATCCAAAGTACGCATTTGATGTTCCTCATGACAAAAAACAGTTTGTGTTGATGGTGGAGATTCAGTTGTTGGTTCTGTTGTTGCATCTGTTATTTCCGTTGTACTGTATGTTGGTTTTGTAGTCGAAAAAGTACTTCTGTGGCTTTCAGTTGTTGAATCAGAACAAAAATTAACATTTTTATAATATTTAAATCCTTCTGAAGTATAACACAAAAAATCGTCGGTAAACAAGTCGGTTTTACTATTATACAAATCTCTCAACCATACTAAATCACAGTTGCAGATCCAAGGGTTACCATTAATTGAAATACCAGTTTCCACACTGTCAAACATATGTTCTGGTAATGTTGTCATTTTATTGTTTCTTAAATCTAGCTTCTGTAGATACAGAAAAGCAAAAGTGTTTGGTTCTATATCTGTTATTAGCGAATCTGACATGAATAATTGCCTCAAATTTGACACGTTTGAAAAACTGGAAGCCTGTAATTCTCTTAAATTATTATTCCGCAAATCTAATACACTTAAAGACTTTAGTGTAGTATTTGGACCAGTTATATTCAGCAACACATTATTACTCAAACATCCTTGTAATTGAAGTGTGGTAAGGGCTTGACCTAAAGCTCCAAATGCATCTTTCTCAAAGTTTACGACAAACATAGTCCCGTAGTTTATTTGTAATGTTTCAATTTGAGATTCTTCAAACATGTTTCTCCTAAAGGTACTAATTTTGGTATCGCTTAAGGTTAACGTTCTTAGATTGTTAAAAACGTCACCACTAAAAGCCTTTTCTCCTAATTCAGATAACTGAGATTTTGTTATAGTCAGTGAGGCTATATTTAAATTGACACCATCCAACCAGCCCTTGTCTATTTTATTATCTTTAAAGATAACTTTTACAAGCTCTAACTCTTCGTATTTTTTCTGAAAAACAAATACATAATTAAATGAGTATATAAAATCTAATTGAGTTTTCTTCATTTCATTGCTAATCAATAAACTGATTGTTATCAGTTTTTTTATCTCCCTATTTTGTGAGTATCACCATTGCCATTGACAATGAAAATATTCACGTTAAAAATACAGTTTTGTTGACGATAAGATAATTACTAGAGGAAAGTAAACAGATATGGAAGTAGTTTCGGTTCTTTACAGAATTCGCTAAGTGAAGTGTTAGAACCAAAAGTCCGAGGATTTTGTCAGTTTAAATTAACAGTAATTGTTAGGAATTGATGTAAAGTACTCGAAATAAATTTAAGTCTTGATTATCTGATATTTATAATAGCTATAAGTTTTTCTACAAAAATGAGTACGAGTACAATTTTTTATGCTTGCGAACTTATGAAAAGAAATAACAACAAAAGTTTATGTATACTAAGATTTGTTCTTTATGCTTTGTCCAAAAATTAATTAAATTAAATTAATTAAATCAATTATGCATTTAAATAAAATATAAATTTAAAAAATAACATAAATCTGAATGCAAGAAATGTCTTTTGTGATTTTTTTTAAATTCTATGACTTTTTTATTTTTGCTCATATTCGAATGTAAATACTATTGTTAAAATTATTTTACTGCCAAAGTTGTCAAAAAAATTTAAAACTATTTTAGTAGGCATCATATTAGTATAAAGGTTCTGCATGTTACTTACAACTGGTCTTTCTTCTATGGCCTTATTTATGTCCTTTACGAGTTCTTCACTTTTTGCAGAAGTACAAACTAGTATACTATCCGAAATAATACATTTTTCTAAATATTCATTTAAAGGTTGAATTTCATAGTAGTATGTGGAAACCTTTCCATTGCTTTTTCCAGAGGAAGACGATATTTCATCTTCATTTTGATCGAAAAATATTATGTTAACTATTACGAAGCCCAGTAAACCGAAAAATATTATAATTGCTGTAATAGCAGCAATCGTTCGGTCCCATTTTGAAAGCCAATGTTTGATGCTCCCCTTCCTAAAATTAGATTAATTTATTTATTAAATCAATATATAAAAATTTCTTTATACCTAAAATATTGTCCTTTTTGTAAAATTTGTAGATCAAGAGTTTTTTTGAAGTTGGCCATTCTACTTATGCGTGAGGAACAAATGATAAAAGACAAAATGTACCCACAAGTGAGATCATAGAGATAAACTGACTATTTACATTAATTGGCAGATGTTAATTAGTTAATATTTATCAGAAATAAATCCCGTATCGCTAATTTTCCGATAAAACATTTTTCAATTTGCTGGATTTTGTTTATATTTTTCTCTTGATATTTATTCAAAATTAGTTTAAAACTTGACTGTGATCTGCGGGTGGCTAAAACCTTGTTGTCTGTTGGATGCCGTTGCTTGATTTTTAATTTTTATAAAATAAAAATTAGAATGCCTTTCCTGTCACACAGACATTTGCAATTTTCTGTGTCATTTGTATGAAAAGATTTAAACATGCGTCATGTACTATTCAGTTCTGAACCATGTATGTGCACATTGATTACTTGTTTCTTTTTAACCCCATACATGTTTAATCTTGTAGCTGAGAAAGAATTTTTTGAAGAGTATGACAAATATAATGCTGTAAGTCTGTGGTTTATCCTGATTTTTCTACTCAGAAGTCTTGTTCCACTGTGTTTTGCTTTACAGGTAAAAGTAACATTTTCATATATTAATTTTTATTATTAGTTTTTATTACAGACAGGTATATTTGAATTTTCGGATAGCATTGATTTGTATTTTGAATATTTTTCGATATCTCATAACTCGTAAAAGCAGTTTACTAATTATAATTAAGAATATTGAGTGAACATATTTTTTAGGACGGAACATTTTATTTTTCAATCTCTTTGTCTTATAACAAAAAAGAAAAACGAAACAGAACATGAGGTAAGGCGTATTACGAGTATATCAATTAAAACACAAATAGGGTGGCGCACAGCCGACTAACACATCTCAAATTTCAATAACCTCAGTAATAAGAATTATAAAATAGTATAAACGTTATACAGGGTTACTCACGAGAGGGCTATTTCTGTTTTTTTTTTGCTTCAACTCATACATACTGCAACAATTTCTCGATTTCAAATTTCTAAAATAATTATAACTGAATCCACGTTATTTGTCATTAGTCTTGTCTCTTAGACATTAAAGCAAAAAAATCATCTCTCAAACGATGCGATAAGTTACTTTGATTTCTAATTTAAAAGAAATAATAATAATAAATAATTTCTGGAATTAGATTAGGTATATCTACCCTGACTATTTTACTATGGGTATTATTTTTTATTTTACTTCATTATTAGCGCATTAATATATGTCAGTCGGCAGTGCGTTACTTATACTTAAATTAAGGAAAATTGTTGTAAGAACAAGAGAAAACACGAGAACAAGACAACTAGAGTTTTTTTTATTGACAGTTTAAAAACCGAGGTCAAGCGACCGGAGGGAGGGAGATTTAATAAGCTGAGATGTTTAAACTATAAAATTCATGTTGTCTTCAAGATTTTTTGCAACACTAATATTGAATCAGAAAGTTCACTAAATTCAGATATTATTATAAAGATATTATTATTATTGTAAAGAAGTAAATTGACAAAAAATATGCATCAGCATATTTTATAGACTTCATAACATACGTTAATATTGACGACGTACTTTATAGATGAAGCGTATTTTAACGGGAACATAAGAGATAAGCTTAAATGCAAAATACAAACAGTATAAAGTATTAGCATCGCCGTCTCTATAGAAATAATCTTTTTCTCGCCTGGGCATTTCTTGAGTTCAATTGATTCCCGTTGGCGCTTTAAACTGGGGAAATTTTTTTACACATCCAGTTTTTCAGCTTAAACGGTTCAACCTCATAATATCAATTCTCTCTGGAGTATCTTGTTTTGTTGTATCCTTCCTTCCCAGCTTTTATTAATTGCGTTATTTTTCGTTAATAATTCAAAATCATTCAGTTTTTCCTTAGTAACCCCCGTAACTAAGAAAAAATCGGAATCACTGCTCCAATGCATTTTTTACGAAATGCCCAGGCGGGATATTGATACATTTCATTAAGGAGGCGGTGGTATTAGTGTTGCAAAAAAAACAATTATATCCATTTTTGAGGAACAAATTGTTATTGTTTCTTTTCTAATATATTTTTTTAAACTTTTATATATTTTTGGATTCTTTGTATAGTGTGTACGAGAAGACTGTAACCAAATGGATATTGCTTTGAAGATGTCTTTGCTTAAAAGCATCGGTTTTAGTCTGGGAGCAATCTTTGGGGGAGTTCTTTCTGATATGTAAGTCTTTCGCTACRATTTGACAATTTGACTACTCGTCATACAGGAAATAACTTTCATCTTTTTCTGAAATTTCCAAATATGTACAGCTTTCTGTAAGCAGAATAAAATTAATATCTCTTCTGTTAGAATAAATTAAGAAATAGAAACATTTTCATATAACACGAAGTACGGAACTATAGCGACTTGTTATAGCTGTCTTTGCAACGAGACGATATCATTGACATTTTTTTCCAATTTTATTCTAATATTTTTTGGAAATTTTACTAATCAGCTTTACAGTAATTTAGCGTTTCTATCGAGTATTGTGCGTGTGTAAAGACTATGAAAAGTTGAAAAAAGTTAAAATATCAGGGTGTATTCCTAGCTTTTACCCCACTCTACCAGCTAATAAATTAGGTTAATTTTTATTTCGAACGACATATTTCATAATGCAACAATGCCAGAAACAAAACAAACCAATATCAAGGTGAAAAACCAACAGAAAAAAATTAAATTGCTTGCTTTATTGATTTTAACCCACTTCTTTAAAGAAACCAAAGAAGCCCTTTTTGCATTGGAGTAATTATTTACTTTTATTTAACTCAAAGAAAGTTGTAAAAAAACTTTGACGTTTTTGACAACAAATGACGCAATCTTATTTTACGTATTGTTAAATTAAAAAATTGTGTTCTAAAGTAAAATAGTTATTTTTGTTACCTAAAATACAGTTTAAGGTTTTGTGTTTACGCTTTGGGTACGTGTTATAAACAATATTTTTTTTAAATAAAATGAATTTACACCTCTTATTAATTAAAAAAAATTCGCCCCTATAGTAACCGAATTGCCTTTTTTGTCCGGAAAAACTGTTCTGGGGACTGAGTACCTAAAATAATAATTTGATGTATTCTTTTATTGAGTCCGAAAAAGACTCATTTTAGGGACTCAAATGATTCCCTTAAACAGCTGTTTTCGGGAGCGCATACATAAATAATTATTTATGAACCAAGTGCTAGAAGACATTTTTCGCGCATGAGTGGAATATTGCACGAATACACCGAAGACGTCTTCACGCATCAAGGTTCGTACAATATTTTTAGAAACGAGCAAAATCACTTTTTTGAACCCCGTTATGCATTAGGGAACCAACTAACACAAACATGTTTCTGAGTAAATATAAAATTATTAATTTTGTATTTAAATTAATAGCCTATTTACAATAAAAAAATGGACATAACATTTTCAATACATACCAGGTGAATAAAAAGTATGGAACCAAGCGTTTTTTTCGTAAACTAAGCACTTTACAAAAAAAAAATTAGTGTAGCGTAAAGTCCAATTAAAATGTGACCATTTATCGAGAATAACATTTTTCGAAATTTCTTTTAGTTTTCGAGTTCTGAAATTTTTTATTTTTTTTTTGTTTAAATGGCAACCCACTATGGTAATTTTTTTAATTAAGGATTATGATCTAAAAATGATCTCTAATTAAACAGAATTGTTTTCTAGTCAGTACTTTTTTTTAATAAATTGTTACAGTTGCGTTCCGAGCCCATCACGAAGATTTTCCGAACTTGAACGAAGGAGTCGTTTCATGACTTTGGTCGTTGGAGAGCCCGGTTTTTGGTGCAGGTGCTTTGGGGTGGTTCCGGATGGATCAAAAAATCTAATAACAAATCATTTTCTTCTATTTTTAGTCCATTCGAAACCACCCCAAAGCACCTGCATTGAAATCAGCGCTCTCCCATGATGAAAAGCATGAAAAACCACTTCGGTTAAGTTCGGAAAATCTTCGTGATGAGCTCGGAACGCAACTTTAACAATTAATTAAAAAAAGTACTGGCTAAAAAACAATTTTATATAATTAGAGGTCATTTTTAGATCATAATCTTTAATTAAAAAAATTACCATGGTGGGTTGCCATTAATTTTTTTTTTTCCAAAACTCGAAAACTAAAAGAAATTTCTAAAAATGTTATTCTTGATAAATGGTCACATTTTAATTGGACTTTACGCTACACTAATTATTTTTTTCGTAAAGTGCTTAGTTTACGAAAAAAACGCTTGGTACCATACTTTTTATTCACCTGGTATAAGAAAAAACACTTGGCTCCTTATTGCAAAATATTTTGTTGGAAAAATCAGTCTTCATCCATTTGGAAATCTTGATTTGCGTTATAGGTCTTCCTCGATTGTATCATCATCAATAAGGTTAACATAAAATGGATGGTCTGCCAAAGGAATTAATTATAGGTAGTTTTTTTATATCTTTAATGTTTGCTTCTGCCACAGGCTTTCCGTCAGGCCAAAGGGGCTCTGAATGTTTAGAAATTGGTGATTTCCGTGGTCTTCCTTTTCCTTTTTTAATATTCATTTCTTTATAGTCGTCGGAGTTATCATAGTTTGTTTTGGTGAAAATACTATACGGTTTTTCTTTTAAAATATTTATCTCTTTAATTTTTAACCAGTTGATCTTSTCRCCGTCGCTGCCTCTTTTTTTGTTATTTATTTCTTTTTTGAGCTTCTGGGTGCTAACAAAGTTTTCTTTTGTCATGGATACGACGTCAATGGGATGTTTCTTTTTGCAAGATATCATAACCTGGATGTAATCTTCAGGGGAATACATTTTAGTGTGTCTTTTGAGAACACACTTTACAACTCCACAATCACTGTTATTCGGCAGAAAACTGTGCCCCGATACTAAAAAACGCAGCTCTATACTTTCGAGATGTGTAGATTCTTCAAGGGCACATTTTAACAGAAGAACCATAATATTTAGGTTTTGTTCTCCACGGGAGTCGCTCCACAATCTAAGGTTTTTACGGTTTTTGAGATATTATTTGCAATATACGAAAGCAAACAAGAACCCACTTCTTGGGCGCCGCAACCCGCTTTTCCTTCAAGCCACAAGTTAGAAGTAGACTTTGATTCGTTTCCTGCAAATATATCGCACTTGTAAAGCCACAGCTGTCCGTCGCTCATAAAATATTATGTTTGTACCGTGCGATCAAAAAAAATAAATAAATTAGAGTAGGCGGTGATTAAAGTCCTTCAGATGGCAATCCTGTTTTTTGACATCAAATGTCAGCGGAAACTTTGAGAAGTTTGCGATTTATTCATTTTGAGTGAAATAATGTTCACTTTAGAGCAGACAATTTTTATTGTTGCAAGTTATTACAATAATGCTGTACAAAACGAAAACGGTGAATGGTCATTTTCGCTTTCAATTTGTGTGGAAAATTTCCAGCTAAGATTCTCAGCCAATGTGTTGCCAACTGTAGAATTTAATCGACGCCTATTCTAATTTTTTTTTTGATCGCACGGTACTTAGACGTGGTAACGAGAGTGTTTTTCTCATATTTCCATATCATAGGTCAGCGTTTTTATTTCATTAATTTAGATTGCTTCATCTTCTAGATTAGATTCTTCATCTCACAGTTCATCTTACTTCTCACTTTATCTGCTTCCGCCAAATGCACGCAATGTTCTAAATTTTATGTTTCTCTTCTCCGGCGGATAGTTTTTTAATTTTTATGTCAAAAGTGTCACACTTATTGCAGGTATTTTTTTTACCTTGCACAGTGATGTATTAATGCGTTTGGTTGAGATTTTCCTTTTTCTTCCTTTTTTTGGACGCCCCTTGTATTCATCGACTACAGTAGTATTGTTATTTTTTGTTGTTTCTGTATTTTCCAGTGATTGTATCTCTGACATTTTGACTGACATTTTGCAATAAGAAACCAAACACCTTGGGATCTTTTTTGAAAATTACAAAGCCCGCACTTTGAAATCTGCAGTTGGTTCTTTTGATCAATATGTCAATGGAATTACTTGTAACAGCCATTTAACTTTACTCTTCCGAAATTTTCGACATCCAAAGTGGAAAAATGACGTTTTTTAAATCAGTTTATTATTATCAGGTCAAATTATTTTTAAAATGCTCAAAAAATTCAGTGCTTTTTACATGATTTCGCGCATTAGTTCTAAGTTCGCAATTGACTGTCATGGTTGCAAAATGTCTTTTTGGCGGCAATGAGTACTAAAATAAGATTTTTATTTTTATTTCTGGATTCAATTGACATTTGACAATGGGTACTATCACGTTACTTGAAAGTTGCATTGGCGAGAAGGAATCATCTTAAATTCCATATGTTATTAAGACCTGACACCCGGTATGTAACATCAATAAATATCTACTTATTATGCTCACACAAGTGAAACTATGAATACTTTAATTTAATTTTTGTATTTAAATACAATAATACACTTGAAATTTTTATTTTCTCGTCTTTGGGTGCTCTTTGCACTATAATCCTTCTAATGACAATAGGAAAAATTGTATATTAAGTATGCATTGCAAGTTTCTGCTCCAAAATAAATTAAAAAGGGTGGTTTCCACTTATTTTTTTAATGACAATATTTAATGTCTAATATTCCATGTCGCCCCTGTACCAGTTGATTCAATTTCTTTAAAAAACTTATTGTGTTTTTTTTAATTAAAAAGTACTAAAATTGAGGAGTATTTTTTTGCTTTTGCTACATTTAAATTCATTGTAGCGTAGCTAAGAAATCTGACAGATATCTGAACAATTTGTTGGTAAGTCAGTAATTTATTACCATGATTTCTTTTTAAAAATTTTAAGTTTTATTTTTAATTTGTTTTACTGTAGTACTTTACACATTGTTTCTTTAATTTTAGATTTGGAAGAAGAATTGTATGTTTGTCTTTTTCTGTTATTTGGTATCTATCTTCCTTAGTTATTGCCTTGGCAAATGATAAATTAGTGGTGGATATATTTTACACTATAACTACTGCAAGTGCAAACATTGTCAACGTCGTCACATTTGTCACATGTAACACTTGTTAGATTCACTTATTTACATTTATGATATTTTACAGTTGGAGAAATTGCTAATAGAAAAAGTAAACTTCTTGCTGTGTATAGCCTCATGACTTTAATTCTGGGGAGTTTCATGTCAATATCTTTTTCCAAAATATTTACAGTTTGGAAATATTTTTCCACATTTATTTCGTCGATAAATGTTTTGATAATTTTTGGTTGTTGGTACATCCCTGAATCTCCTAGATGGCTACTTAATAAAAATAAACAAAAGGAAGTTTATAAGCAGCTGAATGACATTTCTGGACTGATTTACACTGTACAAATAACAGCTAGTGAAGGAAATACGAAGAAAACTAAAGAATTTTATCGGATGTTTTTATATTTATTTAAAAGTAAACTCAAATATTTTCTACTAATTTCTTGGTCGATGATAATTTCATCTTTTTTGTACAACTGCTCAAGTATGTATAAGCATATTTTTGTAACAAACTGATGACATTTTTTTTTAGAAATGAAAGCTTTGATAAATTTTGTTAACAGAGGTGATTATGGTGTTTTAGGTAATGTTGCCGAAATAATGGGGTTTGTACAAGAATTTTTAAGACTTTCTTGACTTATTAATGCTTTTCAGTTTCCTCTTTCTTTTTCCAATTTATATTTTTTTAGGAAAACGTTTCGGTTTGTTATTCTTATATGTTTTGGTGGCAGTACAAGCTTTATTTGCAATGTTCCTTGGTAAAAATATATTTGCAACAAGTAATTGATTAGCTACTTTCAAAAATTTTAGCCACAAATGAACGTATTTATCACGTAGCATTTGGCATACTCTTTGGAACAAGCACAGTGTGTTTAAATTGGTTATACTGTTTAGATCTGTTTCCCACCTTCTTAAGAGGGACTGTAATGGGGTTCAATTTTTGTCTCTTTGGCTTAACTATGTTTGTGAGCGCATTTCTTGCTAAAATGGATCTTACTGCAGAAGAGGATGAGAAGGTAAAAACTAATTACGTATTTTAAATTGAGTGAGATAGTATATTTGTAGAAATTAAACAATGTGTACTACTATGTTATATATTTATGTGGAGGAATATTTGGACTCTCTGTCTTTTTGTTGCCTGAAACTGCCAATCAAGATTTACCAAACTTTAAATTATACGAATAAAATGCTCCGATCTTGATTCATGCGTACTTTATTTTGAATAATTAGTATTTCACTACAGCCTACAGCTTCCTCAATTTAATTTAAAAGAAAAGCAGCAAATTTTTGTTCTTTTCTTGAACTCGATCTTCTGTTGATCTTGATGAACAAAAGAGCTGTATTAATGAATGTCTCAGAATTGATTAAAAGAGATACAAATGTTAAAGGCTCAGGGGCATCTGACTTTACAATAACAATAATATAAGTATTAATAATATTGAAGCAATTGAAAAAAAATTCATTTTTGTTCATTTATACAGTGTGTTCGCGGATTGCGAGCAAATATTTTAACAACTAATACTCGTTTGCACCAGTCAAAGTTAAGAGTACGGATTAACTAAGTGCCAATTAAATTTATGTTTCAGTTAACTTTTATTATCTTTTCACCAAATTTTTTAAACTGTCAGTTAGTTAACCATCAGTAACGTATCAGTAACGTTAGGTCACGCAAGTTGCTCGACTATGATTGGGTTTTTCAAAAAAATTGTAGATATACTAGTTTGCGGCGCATTTTACATTTTGAAGGGTGAAGTTGTCAAATTATTGCTTATTAGTTATTAGTGAGTGGTCTTCTTTTTTAAATAAATAATGGTAAGTATAAAGATCATTTCTCAATTAATAAAGCATTTTATGCGAATTATGTTAACACAGGAAGTAAAACCGAAAAGGTTCCGGTCGAGTAATTTTACTGGTAGAGAAACTTTTCCCTACTATTAAATTTATTAAAAAAATATTCAAATATAATAGAGAATGAAAAAACGGACGCTCAGACATGGAGAAGCAAAGAAGAAACTTCGACAAAAATAACAAACGAATTTAATGCCCAAAATACTGTTTCTGAATTTCGAAGCAAAGAAGCGATAAAAAGATTGTATGAAAATCAAAAAAGAAGCAAGAAAAGTAGCTGCTATGGAGCGAAAAGAAATTTTCAAGACGGGTGGAGGAACAAGAGTTTCCGTAATAAAAGACCCCACTTTTGAATTGACAATGTCCATTTTAAATAAAAAAAACATTTCTGGGATTTTCTTCAATTTGCGATGGAGATAAAAACAAACCTTTATTATGTGGCCAAGAATATTATTATGCTATAGCAAATCCAAAGGAAACGAGAGGGATGGCCGAAACAGAAGAAGAAGAGGAAAGACAGGAAGCAATGCCAGTATCAAATAACAGAATAGAAGTAACGCAAGACTCACAAGAGCAAGAATCAGTTACAACTGAGGACGTGACAGGAGACAGATAATGCTGTAAATAATAAGTTTTATAATAAACTCATCTTTTCTACTTGATCGCTTAATTAATAAAAATAAAAACCTTGATAAAAGGCCCACATGGTCAAGTCGAAGGCGCCCGTCCCAATGTCCAACGGGAAACGTAGCAAAAAATATTAACATTTGGGGGAAGTAAAGCTTGAGGTTGCTAGAGTACAACTTGAATTATTGCAAAATGAAAGGGTTCATCAACAAAAATGTTTAAAATGGAAATTGAGGAAATGGATAGTAAGCGAAGAAGAGAAGAAGAGGAAGACGTAACAAATAAAAGCATGAAATTAGAAAAGTACGAAAGAGACAAAGAGGAGTCTGAACTGAGAAAGAAATGTCAAGATTTAGAAATAAAATTGAAAGAAACACAATTAAGAGCCCTGAATTCGATTTAATTTGTTTTTATTATACCTGCATCATAATCCTAAATTAAAACAAGCTGCAGCGTGCGTAATTTGGCCTTTATAGCACGCTGAAATTTTAAAGTTGTCTAGGTATCAAGAAATAATGAAATGTCTGGACCAATTACAACGTGAAAAATGTGCTTAACAACGTAAACTAGTAACCGTCTCTACGAAAACGATTCACAAACAACGTTTGATAATTTTATTGTGTAAATTCACATTTTTTCAATGCTCATAAAAGTAAATGGGAAGGAATAATAAAAATAGCGTATAACACTCGTTTATAAGCGCCTTTAAACCCGTCGTGTGTGTTTTAAAGGCGTGCTTATAAACTAGTATTATAATATATTATTATTTTTATTAATTACTGTTTTGTTATTTTATAGTTTTTGAATTAAAGTGTTTGCATTTTGTATACTTTGTCAGCAGAATTTATTTATTACAAAGAAAAAAAGTAATATGAAAAAAGTTACAAAATAATAGAATAAAGCTAGCCAAAATCTAAATATTTACAAAATAAGTATCAATGAAGTGTCTTCGTAACTGAGTACCGACCATAATTATTAACATTTGGAATTTGGCCATCTTCTATCAAGCGATCCAATTCATTAGCATCATTTTCATGTGGTACTAAGGGAGGTTCGATATTATGCATGGTCAAAGCTAAATTATGAAGAATTGTAGCTGCAACATTGATTGTCATTGTGGTTGTAGTTTTTAATCTACATCCATAAGCCAAAATTGAAAATCTCCGTTTTAATACCCCGAAGCATTTTTCAATGCAATCTCTGCTTTTGATATGTGACGTATTGTAGCGCTGTTCAGCTGGTGTACGAGGATTAAGAAGTGGGGTAAATAGATATGTCTTATTAGAATAACCACCATCTCCTAATAATAAACAGTTTCTGTATGTACGTCTTTCAAAATCTGTTTGAATTCGGATATTATTAAATGTAGTGACATCATGTACCGATCCTGGCCACCGCGCAACGACGTTGATAATTTTTAATTCGGCTGTGCATATCATTTGAGTGTTAATTGAAAAATAATATATTCTGTTTCGAAAAATTTCTGCATCTTCGCCACCAGGCAACTGAATTCTGACATGGGTGTAGTCGATCGCACCAACAACACGCGGAAATCCGTCTACTTCAAAAAATCTATTTTGTTCAGCACGAATTTCTTCTTCTGTGCTAGGAAACTTGATAAATATGTTATATAAAGAACCAATAGTCAGAGACAAACATAAAATAATTCGCGAGACTGTAGACAAATGCATTCCAGAAAAGTCAGCAAATGATTGCAGATGGCCACCGGTGGAATAAAACCGAGAGCTGATTCATTGGAGAAACATTGTTACTGAAACGAAGGAATTGCTGCATTCAAGAGTTGTGAAGAATGATGAATATTTTACCTGTCATATGGATATTCTAAATGTTCTTCGATCAGTCTTAACAAATTTAAACAGCATTCTTTTGCAAACGAAATCGTTTACGAAAACTAGCATTATCCAAATTATCGAAATAATTGTTACGTACATGAATCTGGCGTGGTATGCCATAATAAATAACATCCAGAATTTCAATATCGTCATCGTCATTGTCATCATACAATATGTGCAAGGTGTATGGTGCTTAATTAACACTAAACGCGGAAATTCTAAAACACAAGTGAAATCAAATTTAACCAGTAATGTGTTAAATACTTATTTCACTAATATTCCCAGACTAATTTTTGATAATATACCACCTCCAAACAACAATATCAATAACTGAATTATTATCAAACTGTAAAAAAATTCAAGCGGAATTTTATTTTAAAGAAATTTCTTTTATTGAAATGCGTAACATTATTAAAGATATGAAAAATGGTGAGTCCAATGATTTTTACGAGATCAGTATAAACTTAATAAAAAAACATATTAATTTACTTATTATCCCCTTAACTAAATTAATAAATGAATATATAAGAACATCAGTCTTCCCTACCTGTCTAAAAATTTCAAAAGTAATACCACTTTTTAAAAAAGGGGATGCAAACGAGGAACAAAACTATATACCAATTTCAATTGTTCAATTCAATTTTTTTGAAAAAGTCTTATTTAACCAATTAACAGTTTTTGCGGAAAAATTAATTCTAGTTAATAACCAGTTTGAGTTTAAACGTGGTAAGTCAACTGTTCAAGCTGTTCAAAAACTTATAAACATTATAACACAGGGTATTAACGACAGGCAATAAATACACTGGAAGTATTTTCTGCGACCTTTCCAAAGCCTTTGATTGTGTTTCCTGAGACATATTAATACAAAAACTAGAGACATATGGTATAAGTAACATGGCACTACAGCTTATAAACAACTATCTAAGCAATGGGTATCAACTGACGTATTTCAACGGTTAAACATCAGATCGGGAGAGGATACAGTATGGGGTGCCTCAGGGATTAATTCTTGGGCCATTACTGTTTCTTCTCTTTATAAACGATTTGCCAAATTATATGGATTCCTGTGAATCAATATTATGCGCTGACGATACTACCTTCTGCTTAGGAAAAAACAATGTTGATGATTTGCTTAGAAATATGGAGGAAACACACTCAAAAGCCGAGGAATAGTTTAGTTTAAATAAACTTAAATTGAATACTAGTAAAACCGCAGAGATAGTATTTTCTACTCGTCCACTAAATATCAACCACTACAATGTTAAATTTCTAGGTGTCACACTTGACTCCAAATTAACTTGGGAATCTCATATCAATGAAACATCGGCAAAACTTTCAAACATTGTGTTTCTCTTAAGAAATCTTGCCAGTGAAGTGTCTCATGAAGTTGTACTTATGGCCTATTTTGCACTCTTTCAGAGTACCATGTCTTACAGCATTCTTGTTTGGGGCCATAGCTGTCACGCAAACAGATTATTTAATATGCAACGGGGTGCTGTCAGGATGGCGGCTAACATTAACTATCGGGACGACGTAAAAAACAAATTCCAAGAACTTGCCATCTTAAAACTTCCGTCCTTATATATTTATCAATGTTTAATATATATCAAAAACAATCTTCATTATTATAGACCGGGATCAGAGTATCATCAGTATAACGTCAGAAACAAAAATAAGTTAAATGTAGACTTTACTAGAATAAATAAAATTAGAAATTCTCAAAATTACTACGGACCTATATGTTTTTTAATAAATTATTATCTCCTGATGTAATTGCTTTACCTCCAAAACTTTTTTCGACAAAAATTAAAGCTTTTCTTTTGCAAAAAGCCTTTTACAGCCTGGATGAGTTCATGCTCAGTGAATGTTTGTTATAATTTTGTACAATAGTGTACGTTTCCGTTCATGATATTTTGTACTTAATTGTATTAATGTTATTTTGACGAATGTAAATAATAATTGTTGTAACACATGAGTAGATTTATTTATTTATTTATGTTATGTGATAAATAATAAACTCCATTTTAAACTTTGCTAAACCGCACTCGAGCCGCGGATTAAAATAACTAACACTTTTGTGACATTAACTGACGGATAAACGCCGATGCAAAGCTTTCCATGGTTTAATCTCCGCTTAATTTAATCTGTACTCTTAACTGTAACCGGTGCAAACGGGCATAAGATAATTTGTTATGAAAAGTCGAATTGAAGACCAAACAAATTACGTATCCAAATTTTTTTGCATTCCCATTGAAGATCACTTTAATTTTACCTCAACGTTTAACTATAGTGCCGTTTACCTTAATTTTTTGGAAAATGTGTTGGCCGATGTGGAGAAGGACGTGCCCTTGGCAACACGGAGGGACAAGTGGTATTTATAAAATGGAGCTCCACCACATTATGCCAGAGTCGTTCATCAATTCGTAGAACAACCATTTTTCCGAAAGATGGAGTGGTCGCCACGTTCAACTGCATGGCCACCGCGGTCACCAGATATAAATCCGTATGATTTTTTGTGGGGTCACGTAAAACAATTAGTGTATGCAACTCAAATTAACCCATTAGTGCATATGATCCGTTTAAACAGATCTATATTTTTTATTATAGAAAACTGTACACAAGTGCTGACAAAATCTGCACTCTAAGGACCATCTTAAAGCGAGATCTACCCCTCTCTTTCCAACTAAAACAAAGTAAATGGCAGCATTTTAATTTTTTTTTACAAATAACCGCTTTATTTATAAAGTTAGCGTTTTGAAGCAATGGTAACAATAATTTCTTATCTGAAGACGCGTCGATTGGTGTAAAAATATCCACATATAAGTGGTCTATAGAAAGTGTGCGTTCTCCTTTGCCTCCTACAACTGGTAATGAAGTCTACTCTAAAGGAGGTATGAACAAAAACACTCCGCCACTGGTTCCGATATCACGGTAAGATTGTTATGATCACGGACTTCGTAAAATAAAATGGAATGCTGACATACCCATGTAAGCTACACGCTTGATGGGAACTGCCATTTGGTCCCCAAAACTGCAACCAGTATTTTTTGATTTGTTATTGGGAAGACCATCAAAATCTGCATTACCACTTACGTCACAGACAAAATAAAACAAGCGTATTAGGTTTTAATGAATAGAAAGGTCGTATTCAAGGTTATGAACAAAAACAGTAAAACACGATTAAACCCGTCACACCAAACCTTTATTTCAAACACAACGCGTTTCAACCACAAAGTGGTCATCTTCAGGTGAGAATAAAAAACTTTTTTTTATTAATTTTGCACACCTCCCATTAAGGGACACCTTTTCACAACGGACAATTAGAGATTCCCCATCGGTGCCCATTGTTGGGAGGTTTTACTGTATTAAGAAAATGGAAAAAGTGTTAAAATTTGCCTCACTACCGGATAGTATAGTATGACATAGACAGAAGTATTAGAGTGGGGTTATTCTGATGTTTTTAATGACAAAATAGGCAAATATTTTTATCTCGATTTTTTCGCCGGAAATATTAATATCTTATTTAAGAAAAGCAAACTGCAATCCAAAATAAAATAAAACGTTGTATGTACCACGAGCATATTGTCGATTATGGCTCTCCCCCATAAAATTAAAAGCCCACCTCACATGGGGCTTTAAACATTCCTTCAGGCCGTAATCTCTTTATTAAGCCCTTGATACACAAATAACTATTATTATAGCAATAACGAAGATATTGACTTCAACTTTAAAGAGAATATTGTGAACTCTAAAAAATTATGTAATTGTGCTTTAGTATATTGAGCATCAAGAACGGTAAAGACATTTTCCTCAATGTTCGTGATGCTTAAGACATTTTTTGCGCGATTGATTTTTGTTAGTTTTTTTAATAAAACATCTGAAAATACTTTGCCGCGTTCTAGAACATTTTTGAATTCTTACCGATTTAGCAACAATAAACAAAATGCTTACGGATGAGTTTGGGATAGCAACGAGCAAACACAACTTACTGTCTTGGAAACAGACGTGGTAAACAAATCAAATAGAGCTCAATAGCACAAAAAGTTATGTAGTCAGATGGTGAAACGTCACAATGCACATGAAACTGACAGCAAAAATCTTTAATTTCTTTTCGTATTCCTATAATTACGGAATTTTCACCAATATCACTTTTTGGTCTTTGAAAATTACATCATTAAAACGGATTTGTTAAAATTGAATATCTTTTATTCAAATATGGGAGGCGGGGACTTAGTCGAGCCCAATTATGATAACGTTATCTGTTTTACCTAAATTTAGTTAAAACTTATTGTAATTTATGCATTATTTATTATTATAATTTGTTAGGTCTCACCTGTCCATTAAATACCTACCCATAAGTGATTTCCATTTGAGGTCTTTTATGAAGAAAAAATGCCCTAGGGCATTAAACGTTCYATTTGACAGGATTTTTGTTTCCCAGGCTACTGTGCAGTGTTGTTAAGTAGTTGTAATTATTTACATGATGCAAACAAATTTAAAGATCATAAAGATCTTGTATCATTGTTGGTGTTTAGAGTATCGCTATACAAAACAATACCGTGCACAACTCCTTTAGAAAGTACTTTTTTTTCATTCATTTGCTTGATTAATAAGACTGCAAAGTTATACAAAAAGGAATGACTTTCTAAACTTATTTGCTGTACATTGGATGAATGAGTGATTTTATAGAAACCATAAAAAAACACTTTGTTATATTGTGGCTTATTTTTCGATTAAATAAAAGTGATAAAATTTGAGGGCCGTTAAATGTGGTTGCTTTAGCTATAACCAATAAAATTGTCAGATTTGGGATTTTAACGTGTGTTAATTTTAACAGCTTATTTAAAAAGTCACAGAAGATACCTCATACATTTTAACGTATGTTTAAATTCCTCCTGGAAAATGCTGACTAAGGTAGTATTGAAAAAGAAGAAACAATCCACTCTAATCATTGCATTTTTAATATATTTAAGATGTAAAAATTAATCAGCTAGACACTCTTCACCTTCTTTACATCCTGCACGATCGGGCCAATCACACACATTTAGAGTTGGATTGAAATGTAGATTTCCAGGACATGTTATCAAATAAGGAATTCCGTTTCCGCACATGTAATATTTATTACAATCTGGACTTGGGATAAAAACTGGACGCTCGCCATCTACTGGTGGGCACTGTGGTTCTACTCAAATTAAATATATAAAATAATATGTAAAATTAGTGAATTGTCTACTCACCAGCACCAACCCAGATGTGTGCGTAGACAAGAATAAGGACAACAGGAAGCAGTTTCATGCTGATAAATGAATGAACCTGATAATTTTAAGTTAAGTATTTGACACATCGAACAATATATAGAAGAATCACTGACTAATAACCAAGAAAACTTAATCTGTTTTTCGATAATCAGTGCGTATCATGATTGATGAAGATATAAGACGGAAGTTTAAAGTACAAAGAAATAATATTCAAGTAAAAATTTTACATGTTTTTTTAATAAGAAGTTTGGACGTTGTGTTGTTGTAATTATTGAGAATTGAATCCTCTAACCTCTAGATACCTGTGTGACCCAAAATTTTATGTAGCAGTTGATTCGTTGACTCCTCCAAATGTACGTAGGATGCAGTGTCTATATTCCGGCTTGTTTTTTATACAGAATGATTCAAAAGGGTCGGGCCAACTGTCAAATGGTGGTAGAAGACTTTCAGCTAAGCATAAGAAAGAATTCAGACTGTTTTTCAAGCCTTTTTTGAGAAAAACAACTGCAATTTCAATATTGTTATGTAGACATCTTAGTTCTTTTGTTTTCGATGTTGTAGGATTTAATTTATTGTTGGTTTTGCTTATTTGTTAAATGATTTTCACACCACAAGACACAAATTGGTGTTTGTTTAGTCTTACAAGAAAAAATGTTAAAAAAATTCTATCTATAAGAAATTCGAAGTTATGAGAGTTTAAATTTTGCACTATGACTCTCTTTATTTCTGTTGGAAAAAGTATTTTCTAAGTTTTTTGCTACAGACTATTAGAAGAGGAAACAAGAAAGTTGTATCCTAAATAGTAACTCTGTTTAATGTTATTTGTGGCTTTTATGGGGAAAATATTGATTCGCCACTTTTTTTTGATTAAAAAAAAATGTTTTCTTTCACACTATTCAAGTATGTAATTACGAAGAGATGGTCAAATGGGGGCCGATCATTAAGCAACGGTGCATTATCAGTTATTAATCTGTTTAACTTCGTACACACCTGCAAATCATTTTTAAATGGTCTTTGGGCTCTAAACAACTAACAACACTTTGTGTTTGATCATAAAGTTCTCATTAAAAATCTTTTTGAAACAGTGCAACCGCGCCGCGCACACGATCTACCCATTTTCAAAAACTAGAAATTTTTGCTTTCTTTTCACAACACACTTTCACTTAAGTATCTCTTTTTACCTTGGTCCGTTTATTACAGTTTTTCCGCCGTTTTATTTTCTAAGAGACACAATTTTCAAATCTGTAATTGTCACATGTCAAAAATTTCTTGTGTTATCAATATTCAGTATCATATAAAGCGGCACATTCAGTGGTTGACACTATTTCAAAGCCAACTTGATCCTTCAATCATTTACGGACACAATGTACATTTAATGAAATACCTACCTATTCATAGATACTATTTCTACATTATCTAATTTTTTTCTTAATTATTTATGGCAGTCGCTAGATTGTTAATGGCAGCTGCTATATTTTCTTGGCTTCTTACTAGGCTCTTCAAGTCACTTACTTTATTAATCAAAGGCATTTTTTTCATTACGATTTGGCAAATTTCTTTATTATTTATAATTGGCAAATTTTTACCTACAAAATTTAGTAATCACTTAATAATTATTTAATTAGTTCAAAGTAGATACTTACTTTGTAATATACGAGTATCTTCCTCTGGAAGGTGCATATTTTCGTTTTCATTGAAGTTTTTTGTTGCATTATTTTCATGGGGTTCATTTTCTTCAGCAAGCCCCGCTTCACCTACGTTGGGAGCCCCTTCTATGACAATTATAATTTCTAGATTGAGCACTCTTTGCTTTAAATTTGTTAAATCTTTTTGTTTTGCGCTGCCATCTCCCGTTTGACTTAAATCAAATTTCTTTGCTCTTGCTCTTCGCCTCGTGTTTGTTTTTAAAAAAAAAACACCTAAAATTGATAGTTTCAGAATTTGTATTTTATGAGTAGGTATTTAATGAAAAAACAAAAAGGCATGTGTAATGCGATAAATTTGTATAAGATCGGCTCGATCTTGTCTATCTCCGAGTTGTGGAATGTTAATAATTTTAATAATTTAAGTCGTTGACTATATGGAAGGGAAGCTAAGCTTGGAATCCATCTTGTTACTGCATGCTGAACTTGTTCTAGTAACTGAATATCTTTTTTAAAATGCGGTATTCCAGACAGGAATAGCAAATTCAATTTGTGGTCGAATATAGGTTGTGTAAAGTCACTTAACTAATTCAATAGAATGTTGACGAAAACACTGTTTTAAGTGTTAAAATTGTTGTTTACTGAATAAGAATTTGTGTTAAATTTTTAACAAGCATGTTATAATTTAACATTTAACAGGACCGTTTCAATATTTATTGGTATAGGGCACTATACACTTTATGGTATTGTCTGAAAACAATAAAAAAGGGGTAGTTTCTATTTTTTTTTCTAAATATTAACAAATATGCAGTAGTAAATGTGGTGTAGCGCACACGTGTGTTCGAGATTTCCCAACTAATCAAACCATACATTTGAAAAAAAGCAAAAAACGCTGTCGTTAATAAATAAAATGAACAATGTGATCTATCGCATATATATATTATAATAAGGTTCTTGACCTTGACCCTGTTATCTCAGTCCATTTTGAAACAAATGAAATGAGTTGGATCACCATATTCCTAATAACATTACCGTTTTTAGTACATCTAGTTGTTTTGGGGCATCAATCAAAATTTGACAATTGATTGAGATAGAATCATAGATAATGAGCGGCACCAAAATTTTATTTGTTTTCTTACTGCAAGTTATGAAAAGAAGAAACAAAGAAGCTGTATGGTGAATTGCTTGACGTTATTTGTAATTTTTATGAGCAAAGGTTTTGTACCTTTACTGAATAATGATGTATAAAAAACATATAACGGGTGTTTTTTTTTTAATTTGGCGTCAAAGCTATCCATGAAAGTTTGTGAATGAACCATTGTATTGAAAATTATTATTCTGACATTTTCACCTTGCCGGGTGTATTAAAAATTGTGGTTTGTTCTCACTCATAGTCATGACTTCAAACTTAAATAAACACCGGTTACAAAATCATCACAATAAATAGACATAAAAAAGTCAAATATCATAAGATAAATGTGAAACTTTTTGACAATTAGAATTTTTTTAACATTTATTCCATGCTACTGGTATCTTATCTTACTTGGCATTTTTCTTTGGAGCGCGATTTTAGATAACAGTACAAAGCAAGCAAAGTTAAGTATACCAATAGTAATTATAAGGTAGGTAGGTATACAAGATTGCAATTGCGTTAAAGGTGTATTATCCACAATAATTCCTATTTTACTTATAACTATAATAACTAAAACAGGAAATTACGAATTATTTCTATTATTTGTTAATAATAGGTATTCAAGGTTATAAATCTTTTTTTTATCCACAATCACTCTATAAAGAGACTTTATTCCACACTTTAGATGCGTATCAAGTACCAGTTTATCCACTAGTGGAATAAAGTAACTTTATTCCACAGTTAGTAACCAGCGCACCGCGTAACAGCTTACTACGTTTAAGCGAAAGCACATTTGGCGTGATGTTTAAATGTCAGTTTAATTTTTAATTAAGTTTGGAATAATTTGGGCCTGTGATTGTGGATAAAATGTTATATTGCAGTCGTGTGTTAGTCGCGTTTTATCCACTTAAAAAAATTAACATTCTTGCGTGGATAAAACACTTACAATAAATAACTATTCTTTAGAAAACTTATCAACAGTGCAGTGTACGTGGTGTAATCTTTGTAACAACATATAGACACCATAGATAAGTTTATCTAAATCCCTTTGTCACCAAATTGTTGAATGATTCAGATTAGAAACTTGCGAGTAAGTGGAATGACGATAAACAAGGTATTAGTTTTGGATTTATATCTTGGATTAAAAGATAAGTCTTCCTTATGGAAAAGTGATTTCTTATTGAGTTGTAGGAATTTATTGTGAAATGTAAATATTAGTTTGAAAAAAAAACGGGTTGTACAATAAAAACGTTGCAATAACGTTTAGATCAGCCTCTGTAACTTCTTTTACACAGGGTGCCAATTTTAAAACTTGCAACCGGCAAAGTTATTGAGAATCAGTCAAAACCGTCTCGGTGGTTTTTACGGGGAATTAAAATGGCATGATAAGTGACGCTTCTCGTTGGAAAGCCCATAACAAGCGCTTTTCAAAAATGTCATACAGCAGCCTATTTGATAAAGCCATTTTTCCAATCGTTCAAAAACAAAGACGTTAAATTTTGATTTTTTTATTATATTCAAGGGTGGGTGGAAGTATGTCACTTATCATGTCATTTTAATTCCCCCTAGAAACCACCAAAACGATTTTGAGTGATTATTAATAACTTTTTCAGTTGAGAGAAATTGCCGATTGCAAGTTTTAAAATTGACACAGTGTATCAACGGCCAATATTTACTGCTTTCATAGAAGATTTACAAAAGACAAAAGCAACTGGTTGCTTCCACCTTTTGTAAATTCCTATAAGCATAAAAGCACAAACATGATCCCCTATATCTTTGCTCTGCCTCCAATCATCATCTTCAAATCTTATTATCTTATCCTCCTCAGGCAAATAGTCCAAATGTCGCTGAATTGCAATCTCATCAAAGATGAATAACTCTTACTTTTTATGTCGACTATTTGTTTCTTGAGGACTTGGAAAACAGATTTGCAGATGCCTGGTTGGATCGGAACTTTTCTCAAAGTTGCCTTTACGGTGCCAACCGAAAGACAAATATGCGTTTTTTGCAATAATTTAGTATAAGTTTTAGGGCCACTTTTCCAAATTGCTATGAAGTCAGCCTTCTCTTCAAGAGTGGTTTGCACTTTTGATTTGTTAGTTGATTTTCAATAAACCTTTGTTGTACAGGTGTCACCCCTTCAAATAACTGTTTTAATTTTGCAGATTTTACTTACGTTTTGCGCAATTTTGAGGTGATTGTTTATAATATTTCTTTGCAGCAAGAGTCTTGAGACCACCGCCTCCTTAATCAAATGTATCAATATCCCGCCTGGGCATTTCGTAAAAAATGCATTGGGGCAGTGA